CGGTACACAATGCTGCCTCATCAGGTTCCACTACAGTGTTAAGATACATCATATCTCAGTATAATCTTGACGCTAACTTGCCTGATCATATTGGTCGAACACCATTAATGCACTCTTGCTCATCAGGTAGCATTAATGCTGTTGAATATCTCATTAATTGTCATAACAGTGATCCTAATATCACTGATCTCGATGGTATGACATGTCTTCATCATTCTTGTCGTAATGGTCATATTGACTTCACTCAATATCTCATTGAGGTACAGCATTGTGATGTTAATAAAACAGATGATGAAGGACGCACATTAGTACATCATGCTGCAAGTAGTGGTAATTTTAATTTAGTTCAGTATCTTATTACTGAACAAGGTTTGTCTCCTACTGCAGCTGATAAGAATGGCCTCACTGCTTTACATTATGCTTCCCGTACTCTCAATTTGCACCTTGTTCAAAAATTAGTAGTTACCCATCAGCTTAAACCTCATCAAGCTGACAGCAATGGTAAACTACCAATTCATTATGCTGCTCAATCTGGTGCTATTTTTATACTTGATTATTTTGCCAAGTCTTGCAAGTGTAATCTTAATCAAGCAGATGGTGATGGTCAGAATATTTTTCATTATTCATCTAGAAATGGCAGCTCAAATTTTATTAAGCATATCATCAGCCAGTATCCTAAATGCAATAAGTTGCTACATGCTGCTGACAGTATGGGTAATCTACCATTACATGTTGCTTGCCAGAGTGGTAATGCCCAATTAGTCACGTTTCTAATAGATGATATAAAGTGTGATGTCACAGCTACCAATAGGCACAGTAAGACTTGTGTCTCTTTTGCCTGTTCTTCAAATAATCTTAATCTAGTCCAGCTACTTATACAACAATACAAGCTTAATCCTTTTGCTGGTAGTAACTATGAATTTACAAAGTTACTGCATGAAGCAGTAGAAAATGATTGCGTAGATATACTGGAATGGTGCAAGCCGTATGGTGTAGATATTGCTAACTATAGTAGCAGAAACTCACACACATTAGCTCATTTAGCTGCTTATAATGGTGCATTAAAATTTCTGAAGTATCTGATCAATGAGTATCAGTGTGATGTTAATGCCACTGCTACTGATGGTAGTACAAGTCTTCATTTTGCATGTCAACGTGGTCATCTCTCAGCCATTCTTTATCTCACTACTCTCCCTCAGTGTAATGTAGCAGCTACCACTTTAGATGGATCTACAGTGCTTCACAAAGCCAGCATGTGCAGTCAATCTTTTCTAATACTCAAGCACCTGGTTGAGAATCATCAGTTAGATCTGTGTGGTGTGAATGATGATGGAATGGCTCCTATTCACATAGCATGTAGTAAGGGAAAGTTAGACTCTGTCCAGTACATTATAGAGCATTCACCATCACTGCTTGAACTGCCTGAAAGTGTTCACGGTCACACTCCATTCCTTATTTCAGTAATGTACAATCAGCTAGAAGTGGCTCAGTATCTTATTGGTAAAAATTGCAATCTATCTGCTTCTGACGATGAAGGCTTCAAGTCAGCTCATGTATCAGCAAACAACGGTCGTTTGAATGTGTTAAAGTATCTTGTTGATAATAATTATTGTGACCTCAATGCAACCAATCATCAAGGGCATACACCACTTCACATTGCTATACTGGCCAATCGATTTAAAATAATTGAATATATACTGAACAAGTCAACTCCTACAGTGACTGTCAACTGGCTTCGTGAAGTCAAATATTCATTAGACATTCCTCAAGACTTGCACACTACTAACCTCCACATTAATGCACAAGACCAAGATGGTAATACTCCTCTTCATCTTGCTTGTCAAAAAGGAAAAAAGAATGTTGTGTCACTGTTAGTAAAATCTTGCCACTCCAGCAGTTATTTTTTAATTGCTAACAAAAAAGGAGAGACACCATTACACTTGGTAGCTGCTGTTGGTAGTAATGGTGCTGCAAAAGCTTTGCTTGTTTCAGTCACTCGATCTCTATGTAGTGAGCTCTTTACTGCTCGTGATAATGAAGGATGCACTGTGTTTCATACAGCTTGTAGTAATGGTCATCTTGATGTCTTTCGATTTTTTTGCAATATTTATCCTGATGGTGTTCATGTGATAGATGATAAACAACGTGGTTTACTTTATGCAGCGTGTAAAGGTAGGGATATTGATATAGTAAAGGATCTCATTAAGAAGTATAAGCTAGATCCTGAATCTAAAGACATAGATGGTACTTCATGCCTGCACTTGCTAGCTGGAAGAGGCCATGTTGAAATGTATCGATATTTGAAGCATTGCATTCACTCTACTGCAATCCCTTATGACAAGATTGGTCGTACTCCACTTCATTATGCTTGCAGTTCTGGTAGGATGAATATGGCAATTTATCTCATAGAAACTTACTCCTGTTCTCCTGATGATCCTGATTATAATGGCTATACAGCAGTTCATGCAGCATGTGAATCTGGTAGCATCGAGTTAGTTCGCTATTTCTTAACAAATCTCAAATGTAATGCATACACTGAAACAAAAGAGCTACAAACTCTTCTTTATTTTGCTAGTAAGAGCTCTAATTTAGAGCTTGTTCGGTATCTGTTTGACGTCATCAAGATAAAACCTTGTCCACATGACATTAAAGTAGCTCAGTCAATTAATCCTGATTCATCAGTAGTGAAGTATCTTCAGAAAGTTCATGACAAGCTTCTGGTAGAGGAAGAGAGTAGGAAAACAAAGGAGGTGGATGTCACAAAAAGCTGGTGGAGCTCTCTAAAGACCATGGCACAGAATATTAGCAAATAGAACATTAATGATTTATTTTTATAATATAAAGCAATATAACATTGCATTGCATGATTTGCTTTTAAATTACATTATTAATATGTTTTCATGTTAATGAATTACATTACATTAATTTTGCTTTAAACTTTAATGCTATAATAAAATCAGTGAAATAAAAAACTATACTAACACAAAAACTGCTGTTCATTCCCTTGACTTCTTCCATAAGTATATTCCAATAATTATCAATAAAGAAAATGTCTGCACGATCAGAGCACCATCAACTAAACAAAAAATTAAAATCACTTTTAATGCAACATGATGTGTACAATACCTTCTGGGAGTCGGTAAGGAATATTGACATCATTGGGTATAACCGGTTTGACTGGTTCTTCAAGTTTTGCCAGTAGCCAGCCCTCATATTCATTACTTTCATTCATAGCAGCCAACCACAACTGTAAAAATACAAAATATATAATTACTTGTAAAAATTCCTTTAGCAAAATTTTCCAGTTTTTTGTTCCATCTATATTTCTTTATAAACAGGCAATTTACTTTTTAATATAATACATTTTGAATTCTAGCATCAGTTTTATCATTTGGGCCCATTCCCAATACATTTTACTCTTACATTATTTTACAAACCTCTTCAATATCTTCAACTGGTGAAAAAGAGGTCAAGCCAGATTTCCTTAACTGAGTGGCCATTTTACCTAAAGCCTCAACTTCCTTTATCAATTCTTTGTCTTCGTTAGCTCTTACTCCTCTAAACTCATGCAGCAATATCTGGACCTCTCCTCTTATTGGCGCTCCTCTTTTAGTAGCTGATACTATGAGCTGTCTACGTGCTGAAATCCTCTCATTTAATGATGCATATTGATTATTATACTCATCCAGTAAAGGAGTAGTTGGAGGAGGAGTATCCTATGAAATATAGAAATAAAAATGCTATCAGTTTTATTTCAGTTTTATTTCATTAGCAGAAATTATTAAAAATAAATCACTAAATATGCAAGGTTTCCCACAGGATTTTAGCATAGTGTTCATGCATGCAGCTTCTTGTCATTGGATTGCCAAGTTGCTTAAAAACCCAGTACTATAGTACAGAGTATTTGGACTAAAATGACTAGGAGAGAATTTTCTATTTTTATAAGTTTTCGTGATACATATACATGTTTTTATGTTGTGTAGCAAGTTTAAGCTGGTTCCAATCAAAATTAGATTTTTTACAAATTTTAAAAGTTACTCAGAAATTGGGCCAAAATCCCTGCAGGATCTTTGGCCAAATTTCGCCAAAAATGACTAGGAGAGAATTTTCCATTTTTATAATTTTTCCTGATACATATACATGTTTTTATGTTGTGTGACAAGTTTAAGCTGAGTCCGAACAAAATTGAATTTTTTACAAATTTTTAAAGTGACACAAAAATTAGGTACATGTAGATGTACATGTACATGTAGTGCTTGTCAGTTCATTAGCATGCTTTGTGGGAAACCCTGTACATACGTACTAAATTGATAATATTCCATGAATGTTAAGTACACAATAATAAATATATCATACCTCTTTCTGAGATGATGGCAATGGAGGAGTAGGTTCCTTCACTGGTGGTGGTGGTGCTTCAACTACTGGAGATTGCTCTATCACTGATACTGGCTCTTGTATTGGCTCTGGTTCTTGTATTGGTTCTGGTTTTTGTGGTTCAGCAAATGATGACCTCAACTGTGATACATACATCAGCACTGCTTCCTCCGATGGCTTAGGAACATTAACATCTGAAAAAAGAAAGGAAATGAATTACCGTATAACAGGTATATTGTTTGGGATAAATTCGTTCTAAGCAGGATTAGGGATTTTCATTTATCTTAGCAGCCATTTTGTACACACAGCATTGAGGAAACACTTTTTGTTCAAAAAATTTTGTTACACAAGAAATAAAACAAACTGGATACAGCAGTGCTTCTGGTTTTATTAATGTAGACCTTACCTTCTGGTTCTAGCAGTCTTGTTACTCCAAGCTTATCCTCGGCTACACTAAAAGCTTTGCCAAGGTTCTCAATGGGTTGGTTCGGATCACAAGAAGAATAGTCGAGGAGCTGATTGTTGTGGCTGTGAATGAGAGCACAGAATGCCATACCATCTCTCCAGCTCGTGTGGAAATTGGTAACATTCACACCATCGTACCTATAATAATAAAAATAAATGAAAACTTTCTTTTAGTACAAACCAAACTACGACAAAAGCAATTTTAAATAATATGTCATATACATGTATGTGTTTTGATGTACTTATACTTTCAACACATACCCATTGATCTGTGTTTGTGTCCAGTGTAATAGCTCAGCTTTTGGAGACTTGAATTGGCCAGTAGTACCACTCCCAGCATTAGAAGTAGTAGCACTTGCTACCTACAGATATTTACAAGTGAATACATGTCATATATGTTAAGAGTAATAATACAATACTGTTTTACCACACACAGTATTCTACATTACATAGAACTCTACATTAGGATTAAAGACTTGCCATCATGCTAATGCTATACAGTAATAGTTTTTGTCACCTTGTTTCCATCTCGTTTGCACTGCTAGGTGTAAATTAAGGTGTGAACAAGGTTGTAAGAAATTAAAAATCAATTTTTGATCTACAATGGCCATGATTTTATGGAAAATTAATTTGAGAGTTTGCAATCTTATATTAAAAGTGACTGTTATTATCAGTACCTGATATCGTAGAATCAGCTTCCATATAAGACCAAGGGTTAAGGTTTGATTTCCATCAGCAATACCACTACTAGTAATACCAACCAGATCAATCTAAAAATATATACATTATAAAACAAAATAATAATAATTCTACCATGCCTAGTTGCAATTGACTGCTTGATTTTAGCTTCATATATAACTTATTTACCACAGGGAGGTGTAATAAGTAATTTCCCGGGTAATAGGAGGTGTATAAGTAATTTCGAAGGCTAATAAGATTAATAAGTAGCCCAGGAAATTATTTATTAACCTCCTGCAGGCCTGCTTGAAAATAGACAACCTAGTGCTAAGTGTTGCTAGTAAACTAGTTGCTTATTTTTAGTACATGGTAGAATTTGGTTATACAACTCTGTGTCGGTATCTATGGTATTTATCATACTGAGGGCCTACAGCTGTCAGTATGATAAATGCCATAGATACCTCCACCTCATTGTATAACCTTTACTAATATGCAGTGCTTTATTACAAGTATTCCACAACATATTTCTATGTGCTCAAGACAAACTAAAGCCATACAATGATTACACACTCAAATTCCAATGTAATTCTGAGAAGTGTTGCTCTTAATTACTTGCTACATGATATGATTGTGAAATTATCTCTGACTCACTTTCTCTTTAGATTGTAGAAAGTCGATTACTGTTGTTATGTTGATCATGTGATGATTCCTTGTCTTCCCTTTCTCTCTAACCTAATACAAAAAGCCACTTATTATGTAACTATGATATTTGTTACTTTGAAGTTAAAAGTCAATATACAATACTAAAGTGCTATGTAAATGTACAAAACATGCCCCACAAATGAAAAACTGTGCAACATACAGACAAGGGCATGAAATTACATACACAATTGCTAGACTCCTCTATTGAGAAGTACAAAGGGAGGCAGAGGTGTCAGTGTTTAAAAAGGAATTAAAATCCATTTTTTCTTGGCACTGATGCTTTGATGCAACGTGACAATTATTAGGTGTGAACATATACTAGTTAGACGATGGTAAATAAGGTAGTTGGAATCAATTATTGGTAAATATATTTTACTAGTTTTGTTCCAGTCAGTATCTCAATGAGGGTCATTAGTTTCGAGCCATCACGAAGATCATTGAACAGATCAGTTAGCTCTTCCTCTCCAGCCTAGAATGAGAGAAGAAGGGCAGGGAAAGAAAGAGAGGAGAGATAGAAGAAAGAGGGTGACAGAGGTTTGCTTCTGCCCTAATCGATCCTTTTCTTACTGCTTTGAAGTGAGCATTGATCCATTTGGTGTAAGCAGTGGTTGTTACTCTAAGAGCAGACCGACCTATTGAGAACAATGGTGAACTGGTGAGATCTACCATTTAAAAAAGGACTCGCTCATACCAGCTTGCGTCTCAAGAAGATTATCAGGACCATCCATTATTATCTAAGATAAACAGAGAGTAGTCTGACGGAGTGCTGTCACAAAAAGATAAGAAAAAACTAAGAACCACCTCGTGATGTCACACTTCCTCTCATATCATCTCATGTGTTAAAACATTAATCATGATTGATTTTTAGATAATAGATTTATTATAATAACATAATAATAGATGAATTAAAACAATGTGATAATTATAATCATAGGTCCATTCTTATAAGACAAGCTCATAATAGTGTATTATACAATAGATTTCCAGAAGCAGGTACATTTGTAAAGTCAATTACTCCTAGAAGAGTCCACCATCATTAGGAGGAGGAGGATGAGGAGGGTACATGTTCATCATTAGAGGCTCTGGTCTAGTGGCATTTGAATGCTGGATGGCTCCAGCATTAAAGACAGCAGCAGCAAAATTAGGATCAACCTGTAAGGGATTAGCGGTACTGGAGACTGGGCCTACAGCAGTACCTGTGTATAAAATATAAAACCTAAATTAAGAGCGTTAAATATTAAACCATCTAACACAATACAAATTGTGTGAAATAAGTTTTAGCATTAAAACTACCAAGTGATGCATAAATGGGCTAAGCATTAACAAAAAGCAGAGTCAAATCCTAAATAAAAATGCTATAAAACTGTAAAAAAACAATAAAAAGTGGACATTCTACTTTACAATGTATAGTGTTTTTTTTTACCTTTATTAGTAGGCAGGCCTGGCCCTCCAGCATGTGGTAGTATTGGAATATTAAAAGTGGTAGATGGTCCAGTGTCAGAAGTTGGCTTTGTTATCGGAGGAGGTTGAGGTGGACGGAGGAAATGATGAGGAGAGAGTGGGAGACGAGTGTAATCTGTTTCGTCAAATTTATTAAGTGTCAATGTCCGTCTGTAATGAAAGTATATGTACAATTATATCATTTTGGATATGACTGTGAGTTATAGACCAAGAAAATTAGTAAATGTTGGCTCTTGTCCAGAAAATGGCAAGAATCTCGAAAATTATTTGTCGGAATTGGCTCAAACTTGCTACATAGCATAAGGATATTAATATGTATCAAAAAATGTAATAAAAATTGGGGATAATTTTGGAGCCATTTTTTGGAAAAATCATGGGCTATAGTACAGGGTATTTTTCAGATTTTGGCACATTTTTTAAAATGGCCATAACTTCAAAAATTTAAGTCAGAATCGGCTCAAACTTTCTACACAGCATAAGGATATCAATATGTATTAGAAAATGTAATAAAAATTGAGGGTGATTTTTTAGCCATTTTTTGGGGAAAACCATGGGCTATATAGTACAGGGTAATTTTCAGATTTTGGCTAATTTTTTAAAATGGCCATAACTCGAAAAATTTAAGTCGGAATCAGCTCAAACTTTCTAGATAGCATAAGGACATCAATATGTAATAGAAAATGTAATAAAAATTGGGGGTGATTTTTGGGCCATTTTTCGGAAAAAACCATGGGCTATAGTACAGGGTATTTTCAGATTTTGGCTAATTTTTAAAAATGATAACTCAAAAAATTCAAGTCGGAATCGGCTCAAACTTTCTATATAGCATAAGGACATCAATATGTATTAGAAAATGTAATAAAAATTGGGGGTAAATTTTTAGCCATTTTTTGGAAAAAACCATAGGCTATAGTACAGTAAAATGTCCCATCTTACCTCCTCAGTGAGTCATAGAGTGTTTGTAGTTTCTGGTACTGACGTCCTTTATCCATTAGCTTCTCAGACGACTCGTTGTATTTCAATTTAGTAGCATCCAATTCTTTACGAAGTGCTGCACAACAAGAGGATATATTATTATTATTATTATTATTATTTCATGAATTATACAAAATGTTTTAGCACAATAGTTACCTTCAGCTTGAGCCTTCACAGCTAAATGAAAAAAAAAATAACGATAACCAATATAAATTTATGACAAGCTCTGTAATAGTACAGTATACGTACATTAAAAAATAACACCTTCCTTTATACTATGGCTGCCACTGTGCATGGTGATATAATGATATTATAAATAAAATATACCTGACACTGCATATAACTACTACATGTACATGCATAAATCTAATACCTGAAGCTATAACTGCTACAAGTCATCCATGTATAATTGCATATGTATAATTACCCACTCTTGATATTGCTACCGTATAGCTGGAAATATTTGCTGGAATTTAATTTTGCTGTTTGCTGTTCATCATAAAAACGCACAATTTAATTCTGCAAAGCATTATAAGTGATGGGCGTATCAACAGTACACGCCTACACCAGCAAAATTAAATTCCACAAACATTAAAATTAGCTACATGGCTACAAAATTGCAAAATATAATTCCCACAAACTTTTCCAGCTATACGGTAATGTAGTCTTGCTATAACTCTTGCATGTACATGTATAATTATTTGTATATTTGATAGTTTTCTTTTCTTTCCTACCAGTGAGCTCAGCTTGAGTCCGTGACATCATCTGCTCGTAGTAGCTCTCATTCTGCTGTAACTTCTCCTTCGCTTTTGAGGAGCAATACTCATGATATAACTTCTCTTGATGTGACTAGAAGAAAAGAGGACACGATGACATTGCAGGAAATTTTCAAAATTTAAGTAAGACTGTAGACTATATATTTACAAAAAAAAAATTCCATTTCTGCACATGCAAAATTTGATAATTCACTTAATACATTATTAATAATAATGTATTAGTACTTAATTAATACATTAGTTAACCTGATAGGACCAGAAAGAGAGGCCTCTTGCAGCAATCTCCATTATTATTTCAGGCCTCAAACCAGCAAGAACCATCTAGAGAAGGGGACAATGCAACTGTTAATTAATACGGAAATTAAACTTTGTGCTAGCCATTTAAATTAGTTTTGATGATGCCAAATGTAATTCAAAAAATGCTATTTTTGTTTTGGCTCATCCCAATCAATCTCTTACTGATTTATATTCTTCTGGTGGTTGGAGATCAACTCTAGTGATATCATGGTTTCCAGGAAGCTGGGTCTCACAAGCAGGGCAGATACGGCCCCTACTGAACTCTCTCTCGGCATCTTCATCACAGAACACATCTAAAAGAGAGGAAAGTAATGGCTCCCCACAGCAGCTGCTAGTAGGTTAGTCTTACGAGAGCAAGAGGTGACCCAGCAGAAGTTGGTGAGTCTTTTTCGACATTTCTTAAAGTTACAGACCAGAGAGTCATCCGTAGCCATAAGGAATCAAACTACTAAACCAAAAAGACAACAGAGCACACACTTCCACGCTGGATCCCCGCCACTAACTAATTAATTATTAATTAAGGGGACGGAAGGTTAAAAATAAAATTAATTATGCATTATGTGGGCGGTGTGCGACGTATCGTGGCAACTGTAACCTAGCAACAGTAACTTAGCAACTGTAACCAAGCAACTGTAACTTAGCAACAGTTACATAGCAACTGTAACCAAGCAACAGTTACCTAGTAACTGTAACTTAGCAACAGTAATTTAGTAACAGTAACTTAGCAACTGTAACCTAGCAACAGTAACTTAGCAACTGTAACCAAGCAACTGTAATTTAGCAACAGTTACATAGCAACTGTAACCAAGCAACAGTTACCTAGTAACTGTAACTTAGCAACAGTAACTTAGTAACAGTAACTTAGCGACTGTAACCTAGCAACTGTAACCTAGCAACTGTAACCTAGCAATAAAAAAATAATTCTAAAATTAAAATTATTTATTTAATAAAAATTAATATTTTAATATAAAATTATTTAATAGTAAAAAATAAATAATGTAAATTAATAATAATAATAACAATTTTTAAATTTATTTTAAAATTTTTCTAGTTTATTTTCCATTATTTTTATTATTAATTTTTTTATTATTTAATTTTATTAATTAAAAAATTGTTTAATTTTTTAATTTTAATTTTAATTTTTCTACATCTAAGTGTTTGTGTTTTAAACCTATTTTCATTTTTTTAATTTTATTTTAATATAAAAATAATAATAATAAAAATAAAATTAAATGAATTTAAATTTTTTTTTTAATAAAAATAAAATAAATTAAATTAAATTAAATTAAAATCATAAAAAGCAAAAAATAATAAAATAATGAATAATAATTTTTTTAATTAAAAAAATCATTTCTTTTTTATTTTTTATTTTTAAAATTTTATTAATTACTTTATTTTTAATTATTTTTTTATAAATTAAAATTAAATTTAAATTATTTCTTAAATAATTTAATTTTAATTAATTCTTAAATTAATTTTTTTTAAATTAGTTTCTTTTTAATTCTTATATTTATTTTTTATAATTTTTTAAAATTATTTTTTAAATATTTTAAATAAAAACTTAATTATTATGTGGGCAGGGTAAAGACGGTAACCTGGCAACAGTAACTTAGCGACAGTAACTAAGCAACAGTAACCTAGCAACTGTAACTTAGCAACAGTAACTAAGCAACAGTAACCTAGCAACAGTAACTAAGCAACAGTAACCTAGCAACAGTAACTAAGCAACAGTAACCTAGCAACAGTAACTAAGCAACAGTAACTTAGCAACAGTAACTTAGCAACAAGTAACCTAACAACAGTAACCTAGCAACAGTAACATAGCAACAAGTAACCTAGCAACAGTAACCTAGCAACAGTAACCTAGCAACAAGTAACCTAGCAACAGTAACCTAGCAGCAGTAACTTAGCAACAGTAAGCTAGCAACTGTAGCTGGCGCGCTTGCCGCTCGGTACAATAATAAAATGGCGGTAGTATAAGAAAGGAGTCCTTTGTGTCCTCTGCTTTTTAACGGTCTAGTTTGTCCATAGATACTACATCTATGACTTGAGGAGGCGCTCTATCGTAGAAAAATGGCAGCTGAGGAAAGACGTGTAGCAAGCGAACAGATCGGCTACTCGCATTGTAATATCAGCAGTAATGTCATGATGGTAAAGGTTTCTGAAGTTGAGGAACTCCTCTTGGGTTCTAAAGCTAAATATCTGACGGGGGCTGGTTTTGGGAGAAAGAAGATCTTGTGAACTACTTTCCACAATAGGAGAAATTGAGACAGAGTAAGCTTTAATTGACTTAAATTATATACAGTCAGCTCAGCATGTTCAGCATGTACCAGGCATTCGGTGCATAAAGCAGATGCTGTGCCATGCAATTCACCATTGCATTCAAATGCTCTTGAAAAGTTCATAAAACATGAACTTTGTTAATGATCTGGCAACCCAGCCCCACCTTGAACTTAGTAAAAATGATCAGCATAGTTCTTAATAGCTAGAGCTAGCCCAAATTGCAAGTTTTTCACTATTGACACATGGAATAATTATTTTGCCAATTTCTGCTATTTTACACACACATTACTTTAAAATGATAATAAAAATAAGTGTTCTATCTCAGTTGCTGTTAATTTTATTTATTATTTATTTTCTTGCTACTCTTTCTGCTGCTTCATTTGAAGGATTCTCTCTGACGCTTCTACACAAAAAAACAATACTAAACATCAAATCACTCCACATACATGTACATGCCAAGAGTAACGCTTATAATTTATACTTCATAAAAACATTATTTTAATGATCTTACTTGTTGCTTCAAGCCACTTTAAATGAGCTTCAGACTAAGAGAAAAAGAACATAATATAAAAATATTATTATAATTGTCATCCTAAACCTCATCGCCGTATGTTAACGATATATTCTTTGCTACTGACGAGTTCTGGTCTGATGAATCAGTTACATCAATACCTAAAAACAATACACTGATAGTAATAATTATGAACAAGATCTATAAGCCACAAAACAAGGATAGAACGGCCTCCTGTCCAAGTGTCAAATACTGAAGGCTCAGCCCTTCAGGGTTTCTCACAAAGCATGCTAAGTGAGCTAAACAGTATGCTTCATGAGCTGACAAGTATTACAGACTTTACAGCATATTTTATCATACTTTGCTAAAGGAACTATCGCCAATTATTAAAGACAAAAAATTCCTTACACACAGCACAAGTCGTTACATATGATCAGTCAATAATACGAGTGCTAGACTCATTAAAAAGTAATTGAATACCAACAGTACCATCCCTTGACATTGATCCGACATACTTATACCTTTTTCATGTAGGAATGTCAGCGTGAATGAGGATTGATTACAATTCTATACCGTGTTTGTGACTGCCAGGTGTGATGACAAATACAATGTAATTGTGTACAAATGAACCAGCAATATTATACATGTAGGTACATGTACATGTACATGTACATGCCATAATTACTATCATATTACAGATAAAATTAACACAAAAGAAGTAACCCGAGACTACAAAGATATAACTGAATTTACAACACAATAGATAAACAGGACTGTTATGGAGCTGAGACTAACTGACTTTCATTACTTATTCCAGTGTTAGTGTGGGAGTGCTGTTACCAGCTGTATAGGCTATCAAGAATCGAGATGCTTTAAATTGCATCTAATTCTCTGCTATTTCTCTAAACAAACAACTCTCACTATCTTAACACTTCACCAAAATTTAATCAGTAAATACGCAGAACACAAATGCTGACATACTACAGTATGTACCATATAATTTTTACTGGATGTCATATTTCATTGATACACAGTAAAAATAAAAACTTCACACCCTACTTTACTGTAAAACATTGCACCCATTAAGGGCCATTATGATAACTGTTGTGCTTAGCGTAATTATTATTATTATTACCTTGACTTCTCTCCTCCCACATTTTAACACTTTTACTCAGAGACTGTGTCCCACTAGCTTCTGATGATTGAACAGAGACAGAGAACTCTTCCAACTGTTCCTCTTCATCTCCTTCCTCCTCCTCCTCCTCCTCCTCTTCTTCTTCTTCTGATGAAGAGTATTCACTGGAACTTGGTTGAAATGCTTTGATTCTCTCGCTGACCATTCCTTTGTAGCCTGATACTAGCTCAGTGTTGGCAATTAGCTTCATGTCGTCAAGTTCATCATGTTGAAAATATAACGAATCTACAAGCATTAGAATAGAAAAAAAAAACAGCTAAATTTATATACATGTACATGTATGTGTATGTATTTTAGATAGAGATTCCAAAGTACATGTACATGCAATACCGTTAGTCTTAATATAATACATCTACAATAATATCTACAACAAAACATATGTATATACTCCATGTACATGTATTGTCCATTATCTATTCTTGTTACTATGCATAGAATGCCATTCGATAGTAACACAAATGAATGAGTGATTATGTATAATGTGCTTTCTTTGTGATTTCATTCAAGTCCCACATTAAATGAAACCATATTTAATAAGTTTTTATTTAGGATACACGCACATGTACATACTCCTCTTGCTATGTCATTTATGCCTGGAGCATTTCCAGGCTGGGAATTGAGCTACAAGCGCTCTTATTTCCTCTGTATTTTGATGAGAACAAAATATCTTAAATGCCACAAACATTGAACTATACGGATGATTGCACAGTCATTTGAATCACTTGCTACTAAAACTCCAATTAATCAATCTGAACTAAGTGAGTATATTGAATTGAACAGCTATTCTTGTTGACATTATTTCTATTAATTATAAGTTAAGGAGTTAATGAGCTCACAAGTGCTTGGCCTCTTCTCCAGTTTTCGCTCCCACCATTCCCTGGCCTGAGATGCTGACTCCATCATAATCTTCTCCTCCTAATACAAGCACAACATGAAAAGGCAAAACACACAATAAAGTGAATAAACCATGTATATGTACATGTACATATACAATGATAAACTGTTGGTGAAACTCATATAACATTTAAGCCTCAGTTAAGAGAATTATTGTACATGTATAGTATTGGTACTTTTTTAACCATCAAATACTTAGCAACATTTGCTATAAGCTTTTACTTAAATCATATGCATTCCTAGTTAGCCTATATACTATACACACAGTGGTGACCTGGTGATCTATACATGTCGTGTTGGTTTACCTCACGTGTGACTCTACCAGCGTCGGTCTCTTCTGAGGTTTTGACGGCTTCTTTGTCCGCGTCAGTTTTCGTGACCATTTCCTTGAGAGCCGTAGCCATCATCACAGACTGGTCTCTCCTTGACTTCTTAAGAGCTTCATTAACAATAGTATCTAACGAAAAGTAATACAGTGAGAAGTAATTGGAAGAAAGAGCAAGAGAAGAAGAGAGAGGAGAGAGAAAGAGAGAGGGTAGGGGGAGAGAGAGGGGATACAGAAAGAGAAGACATGTACATAAGAGATGTGAAAGAAAGGGTAGGAATACTATATGTACTACAAGTACAAGTACATGTACATGCATACCAGTGTAATTATTTGACCCACTGCTGTCACTGCTGTGATCATGAGATATTCTTCCCTTTGATTGGAGAATACTGTCTATATGGCTTGACTGCAACTTCAAACCAACAATTCTGAGTAAAGAGAGGAATGAGATCATTCATAGAGTCACATAAAAGTAACATAAGACCACACTTCATTATTATAATTAAAGCCATAACAGTACTCTCTCTCACACACACCCTATTCTACCAGGAAAACACAACATATGTCATCTCCTTTCTGCATATTAACACATACACTACACTACTATCACTATTATGACATCTTCTTCTGTGTAATACATTACAGTATCACTATTATCATTAATATTAATACTGACACTTTATTGTTACGATTACGTCACTATAGTGGATAAGGTAGACTCACTCCAATTGTCGGTCTAATACTTTCTTGGGAACTTCAAGCTGCTGATGGAGCGGCAATACAAGATACTCTCCGACCTAATTACAATAAAGATTAAATTAGAAACTGACAGCAACAAAGTCATAAACAATTAGACACAGACTTTGAGTAATCTACAGTTATTATGAAGGAATTCTAAACTTGTACTTTTAAAGTGCCACTATACTAGGATTACTGTAGAGGCTTCATCACCAGAAAACATAAATATATATGTACATGTACATGTTACTATGGTGAGGGATAATCTGATTGCTATACCACAACACAAAATTCCCACTTTACAATAAGTACATCCATTCAGTGAGTAATGTATATGTACATGTATATAAACAGAACCAAATTTGATCTCAAGTACATGTACATGTACATAACTGGTGACTTGGGTGTACATGTAGTTGCATATGACTATTGTAATGATGATAGCACAAGGTCTTACCATACAAAGCAATCATGTAATAAAGATTATAGTATTACTAACCTCCACCCATCCAGAGAGCCACATGAACTCCTGTGCTGCACTATACTTGTAGACATGATCGTGAAAGTGATCGCTGGTGGATCTGATACGTCTGTACGTGTCCTCCTCCGGGTCTGATATGATATTACTAAAAGTAACAATAATAATTCATTTTTATGGTGAACAGGAAGATCTAAAATAACTGTTAATGGTATCAGGTAATACACACACATGTACACATACATGTGTGTCATCAATGCTACTGGAAAATATAATGCTTTTTCTTTGTGACAAAATGGCTTACCTCATGCATTGTAAACATGGCCGGAGCCACAAAATTAAAAGTGGCTCGGCCAAAATTCTGAATTTAACAAACAATAAATTGGCAATTGCAAATAATAAGGAATGAGAGAAAGAATGTAAGCAACATAATCATAAAGACAATGTTCAGAATTTACAACTGTAGCTAACTACAGTTTACAGTCTATGGCTTTAGTGCAAATTAGTGGTACATTCACTGTACTAAATACCAAATTTATTAATGTAATCACTAATTTTTATTAATGTTAAATAATCACGACAGGCCACACCTGTTACTTTTTTGGCTGAAAAAGTGGTACGGCCAAAACCTTACTGGCCTTACCGGTGGCTCCGGCCATGATTGTAAAAGTAACTAGGATAATGTCATCATTATTATTATCTGGAGTCATTATTAAGGATGGGTGTGTATCAGCATATGCTTGAGGCACATACATTGTAGCACACCTCATGAAAATAGTTACTGAAACAAAGCAATAACACTGAATATCATTATCAAAAAATGTATTTTTTATTTTCTATTATTTTACCTAAAGGCAAAGTCGATGATGTCAAGAGCTGTTTTGACTTTATACAAATCAGTAGCTTCCTCTCTCAACGACTCAAGACTTTTAGTCAAACTATCAGTGAACTTTTGAAGCCATTGTGGAGTATGAGTTGGAGCTACAGACTAAAGAAAGAGAGAGAGGAGAAGAAAAGAGAGAGAGAGGAGAAGAAAAGAGAGAGAGAGGAGAAGAAAAGAGAGAGAGAGGAGAAGAAAAGAGAGAGAGAGGAGAAGAAAAGAGAGAGAGAGGAGAAGAAAAGAGAGAGAGAGGGGAGGGAGTAACAATATGTAACACCAGGAAACAGCTGTAACAGTATTATACTAACACATTCCAACCACCACCACCCCCCTATCATTAATCAATTAATTGTATCAACATTTCTTAGAATACCAACAATAGAATTAGTTAATGAAATTACAAAAAGAAACAAAGAAATTTAAGGAATACAATGTACACAGGACATGTCTACAAGAGTCTCTCAACAATAGAGAAGGTGTTCGTAACGTATACACAATATTGGAGAGCATCGGAAGCGTGTGTAACAAGAACAGCATCGACTTCCTTTAGCAGCTGCTTGTATTCGAGTTCATTACCAGCCACAGCAGAGAGTGCATCGGTTGCTAGCTCATCGGTGTCCATCGTAAAAGCACTCATGGTTATATTGGCTATCATGCCACTGCTTATAGCGGTAAAGAAAGGGCTTATATCAGGGAGGTATCTGAGGACAAAGGATCCTATTATGTCAGGAAGTGGAGAGTAATCTGAGGCGTGGTAGAGGAGATGAAGCCTGTCACTGTATTCAAGATCACTTGACTCTAAATCAGAGACAAAACCAGTGTCCATGTCTGTCTTCAACTTTTTTGATACTTTTTCTAAGGAAGAGCTGATTCTTTCCATAGTGTTCTTCAGGTTGGCAGATTTGGAGCCAAAAACCATCCCAGCAGGTGTAGAGGAGTGCCTCTCTTCATTCTGGTCACCACTAGTAGGCCCTCCAGCACAACCCTCTGTACTGCTATTACCCACTGTACTGCTCTCCCTCTCTATGTGGGTTGATAGGAAGCTACTGATAGACTGGACAGACTCATCCACATTGACTAGTAGACTGGTGAGCTTCTGGAGCTTGCATATAACCTCATTGCAAAGCTTTTCATTACTCCCAGCCATCACTAAAGGCAGTAGTTTAATAGTCTCTCCTGTATACACAACTGTTTGGACAGACTAGCTAAATCTAGCTCTTATATAGAGAGAGGGAGTGTGGGGGTGTATCACAATAACAGGAAGAGGTGTGAAGCTGTTTCAGCAATTTGCATAATGGACTGTAATTTGAACTAAAAGTCTATGATACTATTTCCTAGGAATGTCTGTCTTGTAAGAGTTGTCATAGCACACAAGCTGAATATCAACAATCAATTTATAATATGACGTTTGGTGAGCCTTCGATTGACATATGAAAAAATTAATAGCTCTTTTGATAACAGGTTGTCATCATTAGCACATCATTCAAGGTAGTCTGCTCACAGCTTGTACCAAAGGACTGTGAACATAACAGAGTATATTGGCACCATCCTTGTGCACCAAATAAGATTAATTTTATTAAAAATTTTTATTATGAATTGCAAAACTTTAGCAGCCTACACTACAGCATCATGGCTATAATAACAATTAATAATCAGGAGTACTATACATGCACTCTTTTATAATGCATGTACATATGTACATGGAGCAGTAGTTTTCTCTTTTTACACCATGTGTACCTGTTAATGCGTCTACTTGTGAATAGTCTAATCACAGTTGATACACACTTTGCACAGATAAACAAAATATTATGATCAGCTGAAGAGAAACAGGCATACCCTAAACCTGCCGGCTATTAGTTCCCAAGTGTGATGGGACTATAGGCCACTACGCAATAGACAGTCATTACTTTAAAGGTATCTTCCTTGTTGTCACTATCTGGCAACATATACAGTTTAATATTGGAATTCAGGCAGGGTATATCAAGGAACTTGGTATAGTGCTCATGGAGCTTCTTGTTAGTGGATTGTCAAGTTGCTCTAAAAGCGGGCCAAAGATTGACCCTGTACTATAGATAGCACAGGGTATTTTGACAAAAATTACAAGGAAAGAATTCGCAATTTTTATAATTTTTTCTGATAGATATACATGTTCTTATGTTGTGTAACAAGTTTGAGTTGATTATCATCAAAATTGAATTTTTTTGCAAATTTTTAAAGTAACTCAAAAATCAGGCCAAAGTCCCTGTACTATAGTACAGGGTCTTCGGCCAAAATTCACCAAAAATGGTTAGGAGAAAATTCTTCGTTTTTATAACTTTTCTGATACATATACATGTTTTTATGTTGCGTAACAAGTTTGAGCTGATTCTAATCAAAACTAAATTTTTTACAAATTTTTAAAGCTGCTCCAAATGCTATGTACTGTATTGTAGTGCTTGTCAGCTCATGAAGCTCATGCTACTTAGCTCACTTAGCATGCTTTGTGGGAAACCCTAAATGCAGGTCTGTGCTTTAAAACTATTCTTACAATGTGCTATTGACTGCTAGTTTCAAAATGCCAACGAGCGATCCAACACAAAAATATTATGCACCAACTATTTGCTAATAAAGTAAAGTGGGAGGAAACAATAATTAGAATTTTCAGAAAGGTAGGTAGCTATTTACGATAATAACAAAATAGCTATAAACAAGAATGTTTGTCGACGAACAACCTCTACCCACTAGCAACAAATAATACGTGTACCCATACAACAAAAGATATACAAAGTAGTTATAGGATGAATCGTACAACTTGGAAACTGCTGAAGCATTCATCTCTACACGCTAGCAATGCAAAGGCTTACATGTATATACCACATACATGTATATATACATTTATACAAATGCATGTAGACATTGTATACCAGCGCTGATACATGTATGTAGTTACATATGAGGGATTTATGTACATTAGATGAATGATTTCATGTGAACAGTTTATGACGTGTATCCTGCATAATTCCAGTGACATACGCATCAGTGAATGTATTGTATGTAGAGATTGTGCTTTGAACTTATGTACATGCATACTACTAGGAGTGGAAGTTATTTATTGTAAAGATAAGAAATCAAAGGTAAAATGACTCACCGTATTGCTTTGTATGTGAATGAGACTGTCATCTTTAGACCTACAGAAAAACAAAATGAATAAAATACACACGTGGGAATTTTAAAAAATAATTAAATACGAGCATGACATGAATATCAAGAGTATCAAGTATCGATTCATTTCAACAATAACAGACGCTTCCCAGAATGGAATCTGAGGATCCTTTTAAATGAAAAGAATAAGCGCATGTCAATAGAAATCACATTAAGCACATGTACATGTAAAATAATAAACATAGTTAATAATAAACTATTAGACAAAGTGCTACATGCACTATAGAACACAGAGATAAAAAACAAGAGCAGTATATTCGACTACATGGAGCAATGCATTATTTTGACTTTTAGGATACACTTTCATACAAGGCATTACATGTAATTATTATCACTTACTTTCTGCGATTCATTACAGTGACACTGGCAAACTCATCAATATCCTAATTAATTAAATAAAAAGTAATAAATGAATGCTTTGAAAATACACATATAAAATTGCCTTTTACTTTTATATACACAGCACATTTAAATGTCATTATTTACAAATTACAATAATTACTGACTATAATATAAGTAAGGACCTTTTCATGCCTCAGGTAATTAAACTGTGTAGACTCAGAGAGTGTATATGATCTTCCTTTGGGTACCATCACTTCCTCTTCCTCTTCCTCTTCCTCCTCCTCTTTCTCCTCATGATCCAGCACTATAGACACTGACTCTACTAGCGATTCATTCACTGCTTCATCACCGCTCTCTACAGCATCATACTCTACAGCATCAGCTATTGGAATGCTATCAGTAACAACTCTCCTCTCTCCGTCTCCCTCTTCAACATTTGTCTCTCCCTCCACATTAATCCCCTCCAATTCATAGTCCACAGATTCTCCTCCTCTCTCTTCTAATTTCTTAATGAAAGAGGCAACGGTGCCAGAAGCTACTGGTCTAGTACGAGACGACATATTACCCCCAGGGGAGGATGAACGAGGAGATGAAGCCAAAGGATCCACAGAGTGACCTTCATATAACCTGGTCAGTTTCTGAACAGCACTAGGAGGCCCAGTATTAGTAGAACTAGTAGCAGCTTTTACTCCAGTAGTAGAGCTAGTATTAGAGCTGGTTTTTGCTTTATTAGTAGTGCTCAATCCAGTACTAGTCTTTGTTTTATGTCTAGGGCTCTCTTTGGCTCTACTGGAATGAGAGGGAGATGATGTGCTTGTATTAATAGTGTCCCCTTGTTTGTCCCTAGAGGGATCAGCTTCAATGCTCTGACTCTTCCTCTTCTTCCCTCTACTGGGAGACTTGGACTTCCTCTCCTTTTTCTCCTTCCCTCTCTCTCTCCCTCCTCTCTTATGCTCAGGAGTCCGTCCTTCAGGAGTAGCAGCTCTCTCCGGAGTACCGGCCTTGCTTCCTCTCTGGCCCAAGAACAGCATCTTAGCGAATTTAATCAGTGAGAAGTCACTTGTCGATTTCTTCCTGGATATGGTGATTGGCTCCTCTGGTTTCTCTATTATCTCGTACTCTTGAGACAGCGAATGGATGAGGGGGGAGGGGTGGGAGGGAGAAGGGTGAGAGGGAGAGGAGTGAGGGGGAGGAGGAGGAGGAGAGAGTGAGGCTCTGATGACGTCGAGTGGTGGTTTGACCGGTCTGACTTGCTGTATGGATCTTTGTGGGGACCTCCCCTCTATTGAATGATATCGCTTCACTTTAGGAGCTGAAATAAAAGTAATAATAATAATAATAATAATAATAATAATAATAATAATAATAATGATGATAAATAATGATAATAATGTTTATAAATAGGAAAATAGTGACAAAGATAAACATTTCTATTCTTGCATTATTATTATTATTACATTCCTTAAATTCCTTTGTATAGGAGTGATATGAAAAGAATGGCATAAATTAATGGCATAATGTCATGATCATTAATTATTATTCATTGGTGCATTTCTATGAATGTCATTATAAACATATGCCCAAATAAGGGCAACAATGCCAAGCAGTCTAATATTCTATTAATAGTAACAGAATGCTCAAAGTTCATGACCTCATTGAACCAAAATAGACCAGAATGACCATATTAGGTAAAATAGGAGAAAATAAAAAAGTAATGCTTATCAAGTACAGTAAACAGCCAACCAGACCATGAATCATGAAAATGAACAAATTTTAAAAATAGTAACACATTGAATTGTGTAATGGGTACATTAAAAATAATTAATAAGAAAACCAATTGGCTATATACAATGTTATGCTTTATCTAAGTTTGGTATACTTTGATTTCTAACTCTATTTTATCCTTGACTTTAAAACTTTCGTAACTTTAAATAATATTACATTAGATCCCCATATATACGTACATGTACATCTATACACATGCAAAACAATTAATAATCATAATTTCTACCATGCCACCTTGCGATTGACCAATCAGATTGCAGTATTGGAGGTCAATTATTTTTCATATTAACCTAGCTCGTAAAAATATAAACCTATCTCGTTAAATAATTAATTGATTGGCAGTTTGGTGCTCTACGCTTATGCTCTTATTTGTCCATTTGTCAAGTCTGGTTGATTCTTTACTGGCCTAGCCTGTTAGATATGTTGTATGTATGTCAACTGTGGTCTTATTATCAGCAGCTGGTAGTTGTTTTTCAAGTGTCATGGTAGAAGTTGGTTATACACCTCGGTATCGGTTTCTATGGTATTTATTAACCTCGCGACTGCGTCGCTCGGTTAATAAATACCATAGAAACCTCTACCTCGGTGTATAACCTATACATATTTGCAACTATAGATGCATGTATTATCCTATAATTCCCTTACCATTTACTGGTCTCTGTTGCTCAATCGCTTTAGTCTGAGTTGGTGCAGTATCACTATCATACAAGTACGATACGTCACTAGTTGGTATCACGTTCAGTTGAGGATATCGCGTCTGTGGATCAATAGAATAAGCCGAGGTCTTCTTCTGGAGTTTCTCTGGAGTCGTGGACGTGAGGAAGTGATAAAGAGCCTCCCTTTCCTCAATCAGTTTTAACGGAGTCTCTTCTCCTTCGCAGAATTTTTTAAACATCCAAGCGGCGTCAAATCCACCGAGAAAACCTCGGGCTAGTCCAGAGCCTGTGGGCCAGAAGGGCTACAGAAAGAAATTGAGACAAACATAAAATTGTGAGCAATGTAAAGTAGAGTAGCATCATAATACATATAATATATGCATGTTTGCTATTCAGTGGTTAAAGCAGTCAATAGGTGACAATGTACTATTAAGTTGTAACACTGTCAATAAAAAATGATTTTAAAATATTTAAACATTATGCACTTACTTCCAGTAAGCTGTCGCCGATCTGACACAATAAAAGTCTTTTTCCTTTCCTCTCCAGTATCCGACTTGCATTCACCGAAGCAAACAGAGATGTGAAATCAAAAATGGCCACGTCGTTCTCTCCCCTGTGATTGCTGGCAAACTGTAGCCCCCCCAGACTACCTTTAGTTGAATAAGTAGCTGCTTCTTTAGCGTAAGTCTCCAGTGAGGTCTGACTAACGTTTCGCTGTGATAATAGCATGTCTGGATCCCTGTAGTCCTAAAAGAAGTGATACCAGTTGATACAGTGTGTGAGAGAAAGGGAGAGAATGGACATACAAACTGTGATGAACAGATGGTGCTTGACAGTAAAATGATAATGAAAAAAGTATTGTTAAATTTTATGATTCGTTCTATACATTTGCTAAAATTAGTACACAGACTAAGAAATGTATTCATGAACACACACACACACACATGTTGTACGACCATTTTAATGCATAGCTTATTAATCATAACAATTATCTGTAATTGTACTATTATACATGTAGTAGTAATCATCAAATTATACAATTATCATAGTTCCATTTATTCATTTAAGTACACAAAGTAGACTTACTCTTTTGAGGACACCTTTCTCCAATAGGCTATTCTTCTTTGCAGTCATCACAAAATAATGTGTTTCATCTTTATAATAAACAATATTCTCTAGCTCGATCCCGTGAGCTTCTTTCAGATCATTAAAGAAAGACTGATTGTAAATATAAGAGACTCCGCTGATCTCTTCCACAGCTTTCTCCTGTTGAGTGTTCCCGTTCACAAAATTAACAGTAATAGCAATGGCTAGTTTAGCTCTGAACTCTTTGGTCTGGAAGCCTCTCACCGAATACTGCTTACCATCAGCTGCTATTATAGCATCATAGGTTTTAGAGGAGAGTTCATTTGTGTCCGGCGAGACAAGAATCTTCCAACCGGTTGAGTTGCTCTGTGGCTCAACGTAGTCTTGAAAGGAAACAGGGAAGTACACTTTGACCCCAAGGAGAAGGCATATCTTTAGTAGTACGCACTGTAGTATCTTAATACCTAGAAATAAACATAATTTATAAATTATAGTAGCTAAATGTATATGACATTAAACTCAGTGATAAAACAATGATAAAAATAGCAATACTGAATTAATGCATTTTAAAAAGTATTGCTATAAAAGGACATGAGATTAAAATGATTGATAAACCTCATAAGCAACAAACAGGAAATTTGGTTGGCCACTATCTACATACAAACTGGCTAACAGCAACCACACTTTCAGTAATAGATAATCAACCAATAACAATCTATAGGAACATGATGCATGAATTACCTATTGTAACTGTACATGCATATATATATACAGTATATTGAGATAAATTGACAATATGAGAGTTGCAAGCATCAGTTTACATATTTTTTAAACTCTATAAGCAAAACCAAGCACCAACATACAAGAATACAATACTGCCCATGTTCAGAGTTATAATCTTAAGTTGTTAACACATTATATATTGCATCATGTATACAAAACCCACCAATATGATCAATCGCTCCAGCACAGAACTTTCCATAGAATTTCTTAGCTCCGAGGCTCTTCAAATCATCGATTAGAAACGGCCACAAGTGAAGGACGTTATTACGAGAGAAAGAAGACCTCTTCTCAACCACAAACACGCTTGCGCCTAATAGAGAAGCCTCTATAGCAAAACGAAGACCAACAGGTCCAGCTCCTACAACCAGTACACGCTTCCCCCTACAAGAGGACCCGTTCCTGTACTCCACCATTGAGGCTCGCTTGTCTAACAACTGCCAGAGAGCCTTACAGCGCCATTGCTGGAGCTTCTCTTTCATAGAGGCGTAGAATCCCTCATCTTCGCGGTACGGGTCGAGGTCTATTTCATTGCAGAGGCTCTGAAAGGAAGATATGATCTCTTGTAGGTCAGTGGCCTCTGAGAAACAGGTGAATTTGGTGAGAGATGGATCGTTGCTTTCTTCCATAGCTGTCATCTTGTAAGTTTATGCAATTAACAGTTTACACGTGAATAGGTGTGGCTTCCGGATTTATTACCAACATGGCGGACTGCACTATTTCTTTAATTTCTCTTTTTACAACTATCATTTTAGCTTTAAGATAATTTTTTCTACTTTAGCTACTGTAAGGATTTATATAGCACTTAATATAGGTTCAAATCTTGATTTAAAAGTCAGGAAACAACTGTTGATTTTTTTTGCTAAATTTGCATTTGTAGGTGTGGGTTAACTAGGTGTGGCTAAACTAGGTGTGGCTGAAATTCTGCAAAATCATCTTCATGCTCCAGTAATGAGTGAGTATAAAAAGAAGAGAAAGGCGCTTCTTTTCTTAAAATCAAAAAGACAAACTACAGTGAGCTAGTCTTTAAGCACCAAAATCACCTGTCAATAACAAAATGAGCGAATCTAAAGGCCTAGGAAAGCTATTCCGAGCCTTCTTTGAGGCTAACGATCTCCAGGAAATTGTCTCCACTTTCAGAGCAGTCTGTCGCGAAGTCGAGGTGGACCCGGACCAGCGAGAAAACTTCTACCAGACATTGAAGGAGAGACTACACGACTGGCGTTGTGATCCTTTATGGCCAATGCTAGATGAGCGTCTAGCCAGGCCGGTTTATGAAGGGCAGAGCCCGTGCAAAGGAAAGAGACTTCTTGTAGTTGGTGCAGGTCCTATTGGCCTCCGAATGGCCATTGAAGGTATCATGTTGGGAGCTGAAGTGGATGTTGTGGAAAAGAGGGAGAGTTTCACTCGTAATAACGTCGTTCACCTCTGGCCGTTTGTGGTCCAGGATTTGAAAGGGCTTGGTGCTAAGCATTTTCATTCTAGATTCTGTTCTGGATCGATTCATCATGCCGGTAAGAAATATATACAGTATCATTATATTAGTTTATATTTTGGCAATTGACACGAAAATCAGCCATTTTATTTTAACTTCTCAACTATAATTATCTCCAAATTAAACACAATTTGCACTATATGCAATCAATTGTGTCATTTTCTATCATAATCATTATCATATTCTTTCTTTATCCAGCCATTAGATTACTTCAAGTTTTATTGCTCAAGACTTGTCTACTGCTTGGAGTCAAGATACACTTCCCTGTTTCGTTCCAAGACCTCATTGAGCCTCAGACAGACTCTGATGACTGGAGGGTACTCTTTGAACCTCCAACTACTCCTCTCTCCTCTCAAACTTTTGACAGCATCATAGCAGCTGATGGCAAGCAGTACTGTCTCCCTGGTTTTACAGGGAAAGAATTCAGAGCTAAACTGGCTATTGGCATAACGATGAACTTTGTTAACAATCGAAAGAAGAGTGATATACTTGTGGAAGAGATTGGTGGTTGGAGCTACCACTGTGATCAGGCTTTCTTTAACAAGTTAGCTAAGGACCATGGGATCGAGCTAGAGAACATAGTTTATTATAAAGATGAAACACATTATTTTGTGATGACTGCAAAGAAGAGCAGTCTACTAGAAAAAGGAGTTCTATTAAAAGTAAGAGCATTATAAGTGATATAAGTAACTTTTTGACACTTTACCTACTAAGCATAGCATATTAACATGATAAAGCATATAAACTTTTAAATACATTATTGTCACTAAAATGACTATTGCATTACTAACTGACTATTTTCTATTAAATTTTATGATATATTCTAGGATTATCCGACTTCTGGTGAGCTTTTAAGTCGTGATAACGTTTGTCGAGATGCTCTTGTTGATTATGCCAAAGAGGCAGCAGTCTACACTACTAAAGGAGGTCTGGGTGAGCTTGTGTTTGCTCCAAATTACAGAGGAGACAAAGATGTGGCAATGTTTGACTTCACTGGTATGATGTACTCTGATAATGCTTCGAAGATACTCGAGAGGAAAGGAAAGAAACTGTTGCTTGGTATTGCTGGAGATAGTCTCTTTGAAGTGAGTTAGGGACAACCTTTTATTTTATCTCAATTTTTGCTATTCCTTATTGCTAGCTGTAGTGATGCATAACTCAAAAATTTTAAGTCGGAAATACCTCAAACTTTTTACATAGTATAAGGGCATTGATATACGTCACAAAATGTAATAAAAATTGGGGGTCATTTTGGAGCTGTTTTTTGGAAAAAACCATGGGCTATAGTACAGGGTATTTTTCAGATTTTGGCCAATTTTTTAAATGCTCATAACTTAAAAAATTTAAATCAGAAATAGCTCCACTTTAATTCTACATAGCATAAAGATATTATTGTTTATCAGAAGATGCAATTTTGGGAAGCATTTCCATGAAATACTTATAACAAATAATCATTGATCATTGTTACTCCAATTATTAAATTTCCTCTTATAATAGTCGTTCTGGCCAACTGGCAGTGGAATGGGTAGAGGAGTCCTTGGAGTATTTGATGCTGCTTGGATGTTCAAGCGTTTCTGTCAAGGAGATCCTCCGCTGGAAGTGGTAAAGGAGAGAGAAGGACTCTTCAATGGATTGAGATCAGTTTTCTCTCTGGTGTCCAATACAAATGGATACACCATTGATCCCGTCACACGATATGGTCTGGCTAGAATGAGTTCATTATCCGTTCCTCAAGACACGACTCAGATCTATGATACTGACGCTGTGTAGCTAGATAATTTAATGTGATATTTAACATATTTTTGCTCAATTTTTATTCACTTTATTAACACTGTTTAGTTATAATAAAGATTCTGTAGAAATTTAATAATACATGCATGTACCACGTGTTTTCGAGCATGCGCACTTGTCTTGTGCTGTAGAGATCTTTTTACAAAACTACATGTAACAAAAGGTCACACTCACTTAATACCTGGATTACCTGCCTCGTAGAATAGCAACAAAGACACGAAGTATGCCTCTGAATCTTGGAGACGCTTTCCCAAACTTTAAAGCCGACACTACCGAAGGCCAGATCCAATACTACGACTGGCTAGGAGACAAGTAAGCCAAAATTTGCAAGCTGGAAGATGGTCTTGATATTATTATACTACTTAATACTTATAGGTGGGGTGTCCTGTTCTCTCATCCAGCTGATTTCACCCCTGTTTGTACGACTGAGCTAGGAGCAGTAGCTAAGATTGTCCCCGAGTTTGAGAAGAGGAATGCAAAGGTCATTGCAATCTCCTGCGACTCGGTCGAGGACCACAAGAAATGGATAAAAGACATCCAGGCAAGCAAGCCTTTTATTTTTCACCCTTTTAATCACTATGTTATCTATATTGTGCTAATTTGTGCCTTTTTTAACTTTTACTGCAGGCGTACAATGGTTTGGGCGACAACTTTCCATATTCTATTATCTCTGATCCAAAACGTGAGCTAGCTATACAGTTAGGAATGGTCGACCCGGAGGAAAAGGATAAAGCTGGTCTACCAATGACTTGTAGGGCTGTAAGGAATTTGTCCACATGTATAATCCATGCACATAATCCTATACTACATACCACCCACCATATTTACACACTTTTGGTATTGTATTTCCTACTATGCATCTTATTGTGTTACAGGTGTTTATTATTGGTCCTGACAAGAAGCTAAAGTTGCAAATTTTATATCCTGCTACAACAGGGCGGAATTTTGAGTAAGTCGTAATTATGTTTACATTGGCCTCCAGCTGTGTTTTATGCATGTTCATCTCATGTCAATTTGTAATGAATATATGTAATATTAGTAGCATGCACTCATGACTTTATTTCATAGTATAAATACTTATTAGTAATGGGAATATTCCTAAAGAAAACTGATAGAATAGATAGTTTATGTAAGTAGGGATTCTTTTAAAAGGTCGCATGTTTGTTTTCTCTCTACATGCAATTATTTCAATGAATGAATGTATATTCTTGTATGTATTAGTATACGATTTGATCATACTATCCATTTTTTGTGTCATTTAATTGTGGTTTATAAATAACTCAAGAGATGAAATTAAACTTAGAATTTAATCCCAATAATAGTAGCGTCCTATAGCATCATTTTAGCATCATTTTTGAGCCTTTATCCTAGTCTATTCTTCATTGTCCTTTAGTGAAATCATTCGTGTCCTTGACTCCCTTCAACTTACTGCCAACAAAAAAGTTGCAACTCCAGCCAACTGGACAGTAAGTACCTTAGTGTCTGACAGACGAATTTCTTACTATACTAAATACCATTCTATAATATACTCTACTATACTCTAATTATTTACAACCTTTGTGTGTAGAGTGGAGGTGACTGTATGATAGTACCAAGTGTCTCCAATGATGATGCTGCCAAGCTCTTTCCCAAAGGATTCAAGGTAGCTGATGTCCCTTCTGGGAAGCCCTACATTCGTATCACACCCCAGCCACAATAAGTGCTGATTGGACATGCTAATCAATAATAACTAAATTTTAGTAGGATCTAACTAGCAATTATTTAATTTGCTACATTTTAATCAAATGCGTATACTATTGTTTCAAATAACGAGTTCTAGTTTGTTTATAAAGTTTTTGAGAGATGCCTCCAGTCGGGTGCTACGGTGAAGTGGCGTCGCTGTGTTCCTCCCACGTGAGCAAACATTGATTGAAGTGGTTTGTTGTGCCAGACCATGTCACTTTTGTGAGCTGTATCAAACTGAGCATTAATTGGAAACAGTGGAATGCCATATCTCGAATAGAGGACACTGGCCGGATAATTGGACCTGTAAAGTAACAAGGAAAAGTAGCCATTATTCGTGGTTCAAATTTGTCCACCTAATTGTTATTTTAGTGTTCTTACGATTTGAATATGTGAGTGATGTTGTTGGCATGGGGTGGATTGGAGTCAAGCTGTCTTGGGAAGTGTGATGGAGGGATTGGGAGAGAACGAATTTTATCATCTAAAAAAATGATTTCCATTAGCTCTTCAGTAGTACAATTATATAGATATGCACAATAGAAATGCAGAAATAAGTACTAGCATTATTCTGGCCTGTGCTATGAGTGCAATGGTAATACCTGTATAGTACTCATCCCACAATTGCTTGCTGTTGTTATGTAGTGGACTCAGAGCCTATTATTGGAAAAATTAGATCTACCATACTATAGTATATGCAGCTAGTTCACATGCATGCATGCAATTGCAGCAGTTCAATATAATTTTTATTCTTGATTAGGAGTATTATTAGCTGTAGATACAGTTGGTGTATCATTATGAGTTGCATGGGTTCTATCTAATTTGCTGCTTCAATATAATTTATACTAAAATTGTGCTTTTAGGTCTCACTTCCTGTCTCTCTTGACATGCTGATTGGGCCATTTTCTTGATACGATTGTTATGAGCTGTAATCCCACGACTGCTAGCAATAAACCTTGGTATGTACCATGTTAGCATTTGATTCTATGCATCATTCACGGTGGAAGAATAAAATTAATTTTTAAAGCAATAATAATAATAATTAGTAAATTCCAACTAACTCTAGTTTCTGGTCTACTATTGATGCTTCTTTCACTTTCAGACGAGCCTTGGTTGGACCTGGAGCAAGACTTTCGCAGCTTGCTAGAATTCATGTCACATTCTCACACTTTAGAGCTTATCACCAATTCTCACTTTTGCAGACAACGAGCTCCACCCTCTTTAAGCTTTGCAAATAGCAGCTCCACCTACGGCAATGACGCATGGGGCAGGACATCCGAATGGAGGAAAGACATCAGATAAAACAGATACAGTGCGTCCTGTTCCAGTGCTACTAAGTGTATGATGTCTCTCTTTCTACAGCCACTCGGGGAAGTGAGTGAAAATGGAGTCATCTACTCTCTCTCCCTGAGAAAGGTTCACTGCGATGTAGACGAAACACAGGACAACCGTCGCCTCTGGACCTCGCAACTTGAAAGAAGCATCCAGTACGGACCAGCCGATGCTTTGGTTGATCATCTTGTACCAGAAGATGGAAACGTGGACCACTCTTATAGAATGTGTTTCCTCGCCGTTTATAGAACTTTTATGACCCCTACCCAGTTACTGCAATGTTTATTAGACAGGTATATTATTATGATGTAAAGTGTTTTATTCTTTCACTGTGTACTTATAATGTTTAGACTGACATCAGCAACAGCAGTTAAGGAAGAAGTCTGTCAAGATCAACCAAACGCAATAAAGTTTGTTGGTGTTTGAGCATTAGAATTGTTTATTGTTCTCTTCCTTTTTTCCCAATTACACACTTGCCTCATTTCCAAGCCTGTACAGATGTACTTGGGATAATTTTTTCAATTGCATTTCCCCTTGCATTTACTATAGTATACAGTACCTATTATGAAAGTATAAATATTGATTTTATTAGTAATTTTATGCTACATGTGCACGTATGCATACAAGCCATATGCTTAAAATACCTTTACTACTAATACTCATCACTTCTACTCATTTCTCAATCATTATCACTATGTGAAGCCCTGATAACCATTGTTGTATGGTACTCTGTGTTTATAGGTCCATAGTATCTTTCATTCGTGTCTGGTTGGATAAATACGTCATAGACTTTCACGAATCAAACCTCTTCAACGACTTGCAGTCTTTTTTAGAAAAAAAACAAGACTTGACATCACAATTACCCGAATTATTAGATTTGCAGAGATTAGTATTAAGCCACTACAGGAAAACACCCACTTCACCTAGAGGAGTAGTAACACCAGCCATTACTGAGCCTGGAATGTGCTGTCATCCGAGATGCAACGGAACAGCGAAGGAGTACAACTGGTTTAGCGAGCCAGCACAACAAGTAGCTCAAGATTTAACTGCATTAGATGCTGTATGCTCCTTTGTTTCTCTCTATTCCCACTCCTCTTATTGTTTTGATATACACATTATTTCTCTCCTCCCATCTTTATTTCCTTCTCTCTAAACTCCTTCCTCCTTTTCAATTTTTCCCTCATCCCTTTTATAATGCCTTTGTTCCTATCTATTTAAAAGCACTCTCTCCCTCTCTCTCTCTCCCTCTCTCTCTCTCTCCCTCTCTCTCTCTCTCCCTCTCTCTCTCTCTCTCCCTCTCTCTCTCCCTCTCTCTCTCCCTCTCTCTCCCTCTCTCTCTCCCTCTCTCTCTCCCTCTCTCTCTCCTAGGAGATATTCAGGGGCATCATTCCACACCAGTGCTTGGAATATGTACGTAAAAACAATACCAAATCCAGCAGCGTGTACAAAGCCATTGACACATTTAATAAAGTGGTATCTCATGTATTATCAACTACACTACAAGCAAGAAATAGTAAAGGCCTCAGGTCTCCTTCCTCACGCGGTAAATGCATCTCCCACTGGATCGACATAGCTCAAAGCTGTCGCATGTTAAAAAACTTTTCGTCGATGAAAGCGATCATGTCCGGACTTCAGAGCTCGAGTTTGTTTAGATTAAAGAGGTCATGGGCTGGACTGAGCAGGTAAGGAATGCTTGTTTATTAAACATTGCGTACACATGTGTGTTTTGATGCATTTTTGTGTCAGGTGGGGGAGTATGATTTGGCTCTATTGCTCAATTAGTATATTTTTATTTTGGTGTTGTGGGTTATTACTCCTTTATTAGTAATTATCAGCCTATTATAATGGGACAACACTTGTGATAAAATCAGCTCTTTTAAGGCACTTCATGCTTTTGTAATTACTTTATACATGTACATCAGACCATGTGTATGAAAGGAGTGCATGGTATTATTAAATTTTGTTTTTTAACTGGTTTAGTGCTCAGACAATTCATTATTATTATCATTATTAACTTACTGCTATTTCCCATTGACAATGTTTGTCTATCCACCTATTATAAGGGCTGGTTCATAATATGACGCTAGGCCAACATACCGTCAATTTTTAATCAGAAGTGTGGGCAATTTGACATTTTGACGCATGCTTTCCGCTGGAATTGAATTAGATTCGATTCCAGCGTCAACGTAATACCAGGACTAGCGTAATATTGTAAACCAGCCTTAAGCCTGCTGTCAAAGCCAAGCTATGAAATGAGCAACAATCTGTTCCTTTGGTGAATGGGAGCAGTCCTAAGATAATTTTAACACTTAATTCATAACTTGAGGCATTAATGAAATTTCAAGACAATTATTAACTTATCAGGACGTCATGATGTCTGCCCCCATTCAGTGTGTACATGATGTATATTGGCTGTGATTTTATTTGGCAATTTTCCCATTAAAATGCAACTTGTGTTTTTAATTTGGACTTTGGAGATATAATAAACTTTAAGTAGCAAGCCCATCTAAAATAGTGTTTTATATAATTTGAACGCTAGTGATTTGCTTTTACTCTTCAAATTTAAGTGCTAAAAACAATAATTATTTTCCTTTAATATTTTATGTTGTTTATATCTATTATACAGCGACAGAAGGTCAGTCTTCAAGGAATTAGATGAGCTAATATCAAGTGAATCGAATTTCCAAACTTTCAGAGATGTTTTAGATAAAGTAATGAAATAACACTTGTAGGTTAAAATTAATTCCATACAATTTTTTTTGTCTCTATAGGAAGCAACTGGAAAGGGTACACACAGAAGACAAACTTATGTAATCATTAAAAAATAGATTTATTATTATTTATTTATTTATTTATTTATATACCATAGGAAGCTGTACATGGAGTGGTCCCATATTTGGGTACTTTGTTAACTGATTTAACAATGTTACACACTGCTCTTCCTGATGTCAACAAAGTAACACAATTATGTCAATATTGATTGATCTTTAATGCTTCCATTCCTCTCATATTAATTTTTATTTGATTTTTATTTAATACTTATAATATTTATGTCCACACTAACACACTTACCCTCCCACTTTATCATTATTTTCTTTTTCTCTACCCCTCTCTCTCATTCTTCCCCTTTCTTTCTCTCTCTTTCTCTCTCTCTCTCCCTTTTGCTCTTAATTTCTTCTCTCTAAATATACTTAATTCTTTCTTTCTGTGTCTTATAATTACAGGATGGCTTAATCAACTTTGAAAAAAGAAGAAAAGAGTTTGAAATCATAGCTAAACTAACCCTTTTCCAGGCCAGTGCCAGCAAGTACCTTCTCCCATTAAACCTCTCACTGGTTCACTGGCTATACACAAGCCCCACACTCTCTGAAAGCGAAAGGTAATGTTTATCATAATACTCTAATTCAGTTATGCCCGTTTCCTTCTTTGTCTAGTTTTATGCTGTCGAAAGAGCTTGAGGTTTGTTCCACTACTTCTCCTTCTCCAAAGTCTTCCCCTAGCTCGACTCCACTCCATCAAACCCTATTAGTAAAGAAATCACTACAGTTAGTCTTTGGTCATTGTGTTCCCTAATGCTGTGTGTTTATTGTAATGGCTTTCATCAAGAGAGTGTATTATTCTCTTATTGCCATTGGCTGTTTTTCATTTTAGCATAACCAAGAGAATACATTATGTGCTCAAGAATATTTTGATAATTCACATCTTTAGTGCAAATAGCCTAAAAATCCCTTGATTTCATTGATTCACCACTACATATCCTCTATCTTCTCTCTCTCTCTCTCTCTCTGTGTATATGTAATGTCTGGCATTTAAATTTGTAATAGAATCATTTTGTAATTCACTATATTATTGTAACCTTCATTGTATTGTAATTTCCGTTTGTGAGTGTGACATACATGTACATATAATGTACATGGTTGATGTGGAATATAATGCTATGTTTGGTGAATTTATATTCATAACTTTATATAGTATTAGTCATTGTGTTCCTGTGGGTGATCATCCATTACCTGTATCATGTATTTATGCATTATTTCTTGTTTGCTTTTGGATCAGTACATGATCATCTGTTGAACTACATGAAATGTACATCTTGTGTTGAGTTGTGAATGTAGGAGGATGAAGAGGGTGTATGTGTACATGTTTACTATGTGATGGTCTATGGGCATTGATTATGTACTGGGTATTGGAGGAGGAAGATGTCTTTTCTTCCATTCCATTGCATAGGTCCAATTTTATTAGTGATAAATTGAATTTGTATAAATACTTATAATTTAATGAAAATTACTTTAATAATTTATTCTGATGTCTGTGTTATAATTTCATTATTAAATTTTGTGCTATAATAATTTTTAAATGTGCCAATTTTTGAAAAATTCTATGGGCTATAGCCTGTGGATTTTTTTGAAAAAATTGACTCCAAAATCATTCCCAATTTTTATTACATTTTCTAATACATATTGATGTCCTTTTGCTATGTAGAAAGTTTGAGCTAATTCTGATTTAATTTTTTTGAGTTATGGCCATTTTTAAAAATGTGCCAAAATCTGAAAATTACCCTGTACTATGGTTTTTTCCAAAAAATGGGTAAAAAAATCACCCCCAATTTTTATTACATTTTCTGATGCATATTGATGTACTTATGCTGTGTAGAAAGTTTGAGCTGATTCTAACTTTAATTTTTAAAGTCATGGCCATTTTTAAAAATGTGCCAAAATCTGAAAAAGACCCTGTACTATAGCCCATGGTTTTTTCCAAAAAATGGCTGAAAAATCACCCCCAATTTTTATTACATTTTATAATACATATTGATGTCCTTATGCTATGTAGAAAGTTTGAGCCAATTCCGACTTTAATTTCTTAAGTTATGAGCATTTCTAAAAATTGGCAAAAATCTGAAAAATACCCTGTGCTATAGCCCATGAATTTTTCAAAAAATTGGCTCGAAAATGATCCCTCATTTTTATTACATTTTCTTATACACATTGATGTTCTTATGCTATCTAAAAAGTTTGAGCCATTTCTGACTTAATTTTTTCAAGTTACAAGCATTTTTGCCAATTTCTGAAAAATACCCAATTATACTCTCATGATATATGATATCACTGCAGCCTTATTTCCTGGTATGTACTATACAAGTGTAGTATAGTATTATGATAGTACAATAGTCTCATTGTATATCGTGTAGCATTGAGGATATTGTGTTGCCAAGATCTAGTCTTCATCAATAAAGCCAGTTTTCCTGGCTGTACTTGTATCGTGGTTATTGTAATGCGTTGTCATGTCAGACCAGTGAGGCCACTGCATGTAGACTTGTAGTATTATTACTGCACATTATACAAGCAATAAATTATCTAATAATGTACAATGATAAGACTATGTATAAGACAGATACTACATGCTAATTATATTATGACTCACATAAAAGTAATGTAATGTAATACAAAGAACATATATAGACCCATAATTACTATCAGTTCTTTCCCTCTTCCCTTCTCTTTCCCTATCCTCTCTCTCTCCTTCCCCTTTTTGTATACAGTTTATTAACAATAGCAGTCGGAGACATCCCCAGACTATCAAAGAACGACGACGATGATGATGATAGTAGTAGTGGTGATTTAAAACCACTATCAATATCCCAGAGGAGCAACAGTTGCCACGAGATACACAGCACGATCATTGTAAAGATAACCATAGTAACATCACTCACTTGCTGCAATTATAAAAGTATTTTAGTAAGTAAAAATTTATTATAATAATAGTACCTATAAAACCACCTACTACCGTATAGCTGGTTTATTTCGTGTGGAATTAATTTTCGTGCAGGCTCAAATCCACTAAAATTAATTCCACTAAATTTTATTAAAACCAATTAAATATTAACAAAAATTTAGTAAGGCACTAAAATTAATTCTAATGAAAATTTAAGCAGCAAAAATTTGAGGCCACGAAATAAACCAGCTATACGGTATGTTCTTTATCACAGTTATCATAACACTGTGTAACCTCAGTTTAATCTATATCTCACTCCCACTGTACTTTAGATAGAGAAGACAGAACATACTGATAGTGTAATCAGGAGGGCACTAGAAAAGTATGACATTGTCCAGCAGCATACTGATAATATAAAGGCATTCAGTTTGTATCAGATACACGATAAGAAAGGTTAGCTGAATGGAGGATGAATGGGTAGTTGTTAATAGTACCAAGTATTGTGTAGTTTTATTGAATAGTGTAATAATAATAAGTTTGGATGCACCAGTACTGTGCAATGAGTTGGTACAAGTGCTTCTGGTCTCAAGAATGTAGCACTATTTAGTGTTAAAGGGTGCAAATTCTATAATTAGTGTTATTTTACTCTTATTTCTACACACACACAGAGTTACTGATACCAGAAGATGCTGTTGTCTATTATGCTTTGGTGATTATTCCCAGGGAAGCACCAGTACTCTTAGTAAAACAAAAGGACTGACATTATTTATATATATATATTATAGTCTATGTGTAGATATTATTATTATTATTATTATTATCACCACCATAATGAAAATGTAATTATTTTTGTATATCAATATTTTTATTTCAATATAATATCATTATTATTATTATACACAATGGGATATCATTGAATAGTGTACAAGACTATTAGTCTACTTCTTCCCACCTTTCCCTTTGTATCTTGCCTGGTACTGCTTCTGGAGTTCTTTCTTATTAGGAAAGTGAGAGTGTTTAGGATTGTCATAGTTCTGAAATGGAACCCTCTCTCTGGGCTTTGCTTGACTAGGCAGCTCAACTGAGAGATTCTGTGGTAACTTTGATTGGTCCCTGAGATCAGGGAAGAGGAGGCCAGGGGGAGGGGCAGGAGGAGTGTGAAAGAATGATACAATGTCCCCAAGAGTTGATATACCTTTTAGGGCATTACTGGGTACCTGTCGCTGGAACTGCTTCTCACACTCGTAAAGGATCTAATGATAAAAAATGAAATAAAAAATTAGTTAAATAAAATTGTAAAGCATGAGCATATAAAATTATTATTATATATGTATGAGCTACTGATGAATACAAAAATAATTATAATTAGTGACTGTTTTCCTGTGTATGCATGGTGGGCATTTAGCAAGTTGGTGATAAAGTATCTTAAAGAAATTTTAATTAGAAGCTCAAAAAAACAAATCCAGTCCCAAATTACATCCCATAAGAAGTCCTTCAGTTTGAGGTTTTAGTGTAACCAAAACACTAGAAATGAAAACATAGCTATCTTAAAACATCTTGCCAGCAAAATCAATTGATTATCATAAATTGAGCAAGCAACTGTTCAGTAATTATACTGCAAATTCAATTTTCCTTATAGCAACGTAACGGAATTTAATAATATACTTAAATTTGGCATCTTATTATTGTCTCATATCTTGTTTGGAATTAAAATATTTAGCTATACATTCAAATATGGTGTATATATTGACGTATAAATTACATTCACATATTGATATTGTTTACATAGATATTGTTTTACAATTGAAGTCTTGGAATATTTTTAATATTAATTTGTAAAAGTATTGTACACAGTAACTTACTTTGCTCTTCATCTCCAAATTATGATCAATCCTATTTCTAGTCCAATCGTCATTATCACTAATTGGTAAGATAGTGGTCGCCATTTCTTTAACTTTCACTTCAAGTTCATTCCTGCTCAACTTCAATGGACGGAGTTTCGACTCTTTAGGAGTTAATGTCCCAATGGGCAATGGACTAAAATGAAAATGCTGATATAGCATGATGACTGAACAATGATTTGTACATATTCATTGCATTTATAGTAACCTCACAAGACATGAAGATGCAACCCATGCATTATATAATTAAAATTATGCATATTAGTCCATAGCACTAATCAATATTATGGTACCTTTCATTTCCAAAGACAATTTTTTTAAACAGATTGCTCAGACCAAATACTGGAGTACTAGTGAACAAGAATCTATGACAGTGTTTCACACAAGATCTGGGAGTAGCCATTTTTTAACAATTAAGAATTAAGATCTCTATACGTAGCAATACGTCACTTGCATACCAGATCAGACTTAAATTACACAGATCAGATTACTATTACTAGTCCTAAAGAAGACGCATGACGGTTTTCATTGGCGGTTGATGTATCTGATAAGGACTTTGACTTTGTTTTGTGATGCCGGGTTATGACTTAAAGATTAATGGTGAGTACGCCCGGTTAGAGTCTCTTCTTTGCTCCTCGTGTGAACTGATACTAAGAGACGCTATACAAAATGAAGAAGGTCTTAGGTTCTGTAAGACTTGCTGGGAGACCCTAAGGTATGATGTCAAATGAAGAAGGGGGCGTGTTATGTCTTATCATTTAGTTCTTTTGGTTCAAAAGCTCAGAAATTGGGAGTTGATCCATCTGAACCTGTAAGTTTGTACACTAATCTAATGAAATGTTGTTTGCAATTATATATGTAATCCATTAATAATCATGTTAAACTTGTTCTTATGCATGTATTTATAGACACATCCTGACATCGCTGTTAGAAGAGAGATTGATAAGCTTCCGGTACTATGTGAGAACTATGAGAATGGTTGTGAATGGACAGGAACACTGAAAGACCATGAGGTACTTGAGGGTATTGGGCAGAACTTCAAGGGCGGGATTGTGGTTGACAGCTGCAATAACATTGTAACAGTATGATAGTTGTTGAGGTCTTTTGTTCCTTTATAGCATAACCACAAAGCTCACTGTGAGTATAAGACTGAGAGGTGTTCTCTTGGCTGCGGTAAAAGAATCCCTCTTGGAAAGTTGAGGAAACATGAACAAGAAGAGTGCCCATTTCGAAAAGTCCGATGTCCACATTGCAGAAGCGAATTGTTGGCTGGAGACTATGATGTAAGAAGATAAGATGGATAATTATAGTAATTTTATAATTCATATGTTAAGGATCACCTATTGAGTTGTCCTAATGCCCCTTATACTTGTGATCATTGTCTCATTGAAATGCCAAGGAGTGAAGTGAGTTTTGTGCTTATATACCAAATGGAACAATGATCTCATCTATCATCATAATTATTAGATGGATAACCATGTGCTACTTAACTGCACAGAAAAGTTAACTTGTTTTGGATGCCAAACAAAGGTAAATGTACATATATGTCTAAAGTTATGTTAGTAACAACATTCAAGTTTGGGGAATTTCCCCGGGAAAACACCCCAACACTGCTCTGCTGTCCAATTTATTATTTGTAACTTAGCTACTCATTTAATTATTTTAAATGCAGATAAACAGAAGGCATCCAAATCTTACAAGTCATTTAGAGCGTGAACAACTCTTCATGCATCTCCAAAGGCTAGGATTGTTTATCAAGACATTGGAGACACAATTGAAAGTAGAAGTGAAAGAGATTCGAAAAGAGCTCACAGACTTTACTGAAAGTATTTCCAAATTTAAGGATCAAATGATTAATGATAGCTCCTCACAAATGCAACAAGTCAAACAACTTGAAGAGCGTCTTAAAGGAGAACCTTCAAATCAAATTATACTGGACTTACAAGAAAGAGTTAAACAACTAAATGACAAAGTTAATAAGCTGGAATCTGGAGCAAGCTACCGTCCTCTTAACCAGGGCTATGACGACATGTCAACAAGTGATAGCAAAATGGGAGGATCAATCGAGCAGAAATTAGCAGAGCAGGAAAGGACGTCTGGGATGTTAAAAGTTCATCTATCAGAGCTCGAGTTACAATTACAAGCTTCTCTTGCTTCTACCTACAATGGCTCATTTTTGTGGCGCATACCTGACGTCAAACGAAGGAAAAGAGATGCAATTGAAGGGAAAATCACATCAATCTACAGTCCACCTTTCTACACTGGACGAAATGGATATAAGATGTGTATTCGTGCCTATCTCAATGGAGATGGGATTGGGTATAATACACATCTATCCATTTTTTTCGTGTTGATGAAAGGTAAGAACTATAACTTGGTTTCTAGGTTTTAAAATAATTTTAAGTGTAAAGAGTGAACTAAATATACATTATTCATCAAAAGAGGATTCATTTTTACATTGTTTTGCATTGTATGAATACCGTATAACGCTTTAATTTGGTGGAGTTTTATTTTGGCGATTGGCGGTTTGCAAGCAGAATCACCAATATTAAAACCGCCAATCGTTAATGTGCATGCTCAGTAATGCATGTGTACACAAAAATCGCCAAATTAAAAACCGCCAATTACAATTTTACAGCAAAATTGCCAAAATAAAGCGTTATACGGTATTAGCTTCTGACAATTTTCCATCAAATGAATTTGTCTGACTGTCATGTTTACACTCTATAGGTGAATATGACCCATTATTAAAGTGGCCTTTTGACTACAAAGTGTCTTTAATCATGGTGGATCAAGACCACAAGAGGCACATTGTGCAAACCTTCAAGCCATCTCCTAGTTCAAGTAGCTTCCAGAGACCAAAATCAGACATGAATATCGCCTCTGGGTGTCCAAAATTTGCCGAGTTAAAAATCCTCGACAATGAATCATACGTAAAAGAAGACGTAATGTATGTTAAAGCAATTGTGGATACTACTAGGATTTTTCACCCCTAAAAACGAATGGTTTTTTTTGCAAAAAAATTTATTAGATTGGTACCTAAAGCAGACCAACAAGATATTGGTATGCCTAGTAAATACCAGTTAGGCCTCTGTCTGTATATGCACATTTTGGAGATAATTCATCATTAAAATGTTCTTAAAAGTTAATAAATAGTACACTATAATACACAAGTCATGAGAATGCTATCAACTTGGCTTATGTTTAAATGCAGCCTTGATCATCTCATTTTGAAGGTTTTCTGTTTTGTGGGATCGTTAGTGCTGCAGTAGGCTGACGAGAAGACAAAGGAGTATCAGTTAATGTGTTAGCATGCACTGTCCCCTCCTGGTGGTATGACAAAGATCTCTTAGTGCTCCTACGACGAGTGATAGTACCATACATTTCAGCTTGTCTTAGTTCCTAAAGAAGGCGAGAGAAAACATTCAATGTTAGTCTTGTGGAGTTGAATGGTTTTACTTCTGATGTGTATTGATGTTCTTGAGGAGAGAGGTCAGGTGAGCTAACATACTGTCGCATAGCTGAAGGAGTCTTCTTAGAATTAGATTTATTATGAGCTGATGGAGTGTGATCAGTGCTAGCTTCCTTCCATGCATGGAGTAGCTGTCTGGTACTGTTTGCATGTGTTGGGCTCAGTACTGGAGGAGGTTGTGGTTTGGGATTAAGATTCATCATTGATGCCGAATACTGCATTGATCTATTGTGAGTTGGAGCTGATACAGAATATGGTGGTGGAGGCTCAGGAAGCATGTTTAAAGGTCTTGAGCCTGGCATTGAGATGCTGTGATTCACAGGATAGCTAGTTAGGGTCTGCTCGGTAACAGAATGACGTGAAGATTTGTTGCTTCCCTTTCCAGTTGTGTTTCCTCTTCTTATAGTAGCATAAGGATTAGTAGCAGTAAGATAAGCATGATCATGTGCAGTTTTTATCCCTCCTTTGTTAGTTGGGTGCAATAAACTCCGGAGTTGTTGAAGTACTTCATCTACCATACCTCCACCAGTAGTGGTTGACTATAAGGTTATAAAAACTATCATTATTATTCTTTTATTTACCTTTTCTTTCAGTTTATCTCTTAGCAGCTCTTCAAGTTGCTGCAAGATCACACTTTCTCTTGCTTGATTTGAAGTCTAAAATGTGTAAACATAAAACAATAAAATTTTAGCACATCAATCATGCATGAACATACAGAATGATCTCCAGTAGTAGCAGTAGCTGTTGCATTGTTCTCCACTATAAAATGAGATAGAGATACAATCTACATCATAACCTAAGGTACTATAATTACCTTTTCTTGNGCTAGTANATGTATTGATTGATTTCTGAGACTTGTACACTTCTCTTGTAGTCCTTGTGAGTGCATTGGCTATACTCT